CTGTTACTCCCTTCTTCCCCTTCACAGATTTCCATCCTTTCTACCATCTTGCCCCAAAATAAATGCGTTATCCCACTTGAAGGGAATGACCTAATTGGATCAAGTATTTTGTAATGACATACAGCATTTCCCTGTGAACTTTCTGTCACGACAGGATTATGAACAGTACTTGATAGTTCTCCACTGGCTTCTGTTCACCGGTTTTCTAATTTGCTTCTCATCTGCGCCTCATTATATGTCCAGATTTCTGTTACTTATCTGCTGCAATATCACGTCTTTAGCAAGCTACCGTTTTCCCCCAGATTAGTGTTCTTCCTGATCCCGTAAAAATTATTCTGCATTGCTCATTTTACCTCAGGATACCTTCCCCTCATGGAAAAGTCCTTCTCAAATACCTTGTTTCAACTTTTCTAAGGAAAATTTAGTTTTGTGTCTGCTTCCAACATTGAATCTCTCATACAAACTATCTTGTTTACCCAAATAGGATAAAACAATGACAGGATGAGAAATAGCTTTACACAAATGCCAATTCTTTTGTAAAACATCAAAGCATAATTGCAAATGCTATTGTTCTTTTTCCAGGGCTGTGGTAGTCTATCACCACAGCTTTAGTCAGAGAATAACACGGGGAACCCGAACCAGGGGAGTTGAACATGGTCATTCATTTCCAGATAATAATCTGACGTCCATTCCAGGCACTAAGACGTCTGAAGCTACTTAGTATTTCAGTAAGTAGTGTGGTTTGCTGTAGAGAGAAGCCCTTAAGTAAAGGGATCATGGAAATTTTTTGGTAGAGGACATGCAGTTAATGGCCTCAGAAAAGGTCTGTGAAGAATTTATTTCATTTTCAGCTGCTGTTTCTAGTAGTCTTATAAGCTCAGACACAGTTGAGCAGAACAGTTTACGACAGCTACTGTGCCCTTCAGTGGTGGGCCAGCCCTTAAGGCATGCCAGGCTGCAATGGAGAGCCTTCCCCCCCAAGTTCCTCTATTAAGGGAACTAGACAAGCATGTTTGTGGTCTCTCTTCCCAGACGGCTTTTTTACAGCACCCAGGCTCTAATGAATCTTCAAATTAGGCACAACAATAAGCAACACAGGAGACTGGGACACTGACACAGTAATTGCAGTTATTCCCAGGTTTCTGGGAAACCCAGCATAGCTCAGAGCTGATCCAGAGCATGACAGAGAGTCAGTGGAGAATTTATTTTAGCCCTTTCAGCTCTTCAGAAAGACCGCCTGGAAATCCGATAGGATGTCAGTCCAGGCCCACCCTTCTGTGCAGGGCTGAAGCATTTTGTTTGTGGCAGCCTTTGCTTGGCAGGGGGGAGAGGGGAAGCAGCTGCTGGATCTTCTTTTAGACAGAAAAAGCTTTCAGTCGTGCTGTCTTAGAGACTGATGTTTCTGTCATTGATATTGGCAAATCTGGAGACAGGTATTTTATCCTGGAAAAGTTCCCTGCAGGTTGGAGTTCAAAACTCTGGTCCCCCCAGCAAGGGGACAGGAGGGCAACCCTCACCTACTCGGTTGCATGGCCTCCAGCGTAGGTGCAGAGGCACAGAAATAACTTGGTTAGCCTCAGAAAGGAAGAACTGCAGCTGTATAATCACCGCGTGCCAAGCCACAAACGCCTCAGGGGAAATTCTTGCAGAGAGCACCTGGCTGAACTGGAACATGGTCTATCTTTTCTACAGATGTAAATTGTAGGCCTTATATTCCTCATCACCTAAGGAATCGTACCTGACCCTCTTACCTCCTTTAGGCAGAGCCCTCACCCAAGCCCAGGCAGAGCCCTCACCCAAGCCCAGGCAGAGCCAGCCTTATAAAGACTAGACCTATGCGCATCTCCCACTCCGGTGTTTCTAACCTGCTCTGTTTCTGTGATTCTGCAGCAGAGTAGAAGTTAGAGGAGCTCCAGCATCTCCCATAACCAGGAGAGTGCAAAGGAGTTGTTGTAAAGCCCCTTTGATTTCTCCTTCTGCAAGGAGGAGGCGGGGGGGGAGATTCTCTCAGCCAGAAGGTAACTGTTGGGATTTGCTGAGGGGTTTGGGAGACTAAAGCTAGGAGCTAATCTAATCTGGAGCCTGACCCACAGGCCTTAATTTATTATCTGGAAATTTGGAAAATGCAAGTATCTCTAATTAAAAACAAGAACCATTTGTGTGTCATGGTTAATGCAGATTTATTTCTGACAATATAATAAATTCAGCGCAGATTGGAACCAGCTGCCCCAGCTCTAAAAGTACCTGAAGTTCCCCCCTCCACATCACCAGGCTTAGGACTGGGATGCAGTCATGCCGTAAGTCTCACTGGCCAAGGGGACAGCTCAGCATTGTCCTTGCTTACGCAAGAAAATAAATGCTCCTAGGCAAGGACTGGCAAGGGAGCTTGGTCATGGAAAACCTGAGAGCCAAATCAATCTACTTAAAAAGTGATTGATTCCTCCAGTGCAGAGAGGAAGCAGGAACAAGGCTTATGGATATAGGGGAACACATTTTATTAAAAAATAGTCTCTTTGACTAGCATCCTTCAATACATCTTCATTTGGGCTCCTGCCATTCCTGAAAGTCGTAGCGCAGAGAGGAATATATCCTATTCTAACTGGAAGAAAGAGGCACACAAAGGTAGAGACGCTGATCTTCCCCAAACCTCAGCTCTGCCACCGCATGCCAAGTCTCCTTACATCCAGGTAAAACACCCAAAAGCAGTAACCCTGAAGAGGAGCCTGCGGTTTTCCACCACTCCAAATGCACAAAGTCTTTTTCATATCCAGGGGTAGGTCAGTAGAACAGGCTATTTCACTTCCCTTCGCCCGTTTCCCTTCTGCCCCGTCTCACCTGTTTGGATTGTAAGATCTCTGGAGCAGGACTATCGTGCAGGTTACAGCTACACAGATTTTTATTGCTGCCTGGGGAAAAGCTATGTAAATATTGCAGCTTTTGGTCCACATGCCTTCCCTCCAGGCAGTCCATGCGCCTCATGGAACTACTCAGTGAAGTGGTAAGACACCAGCTTTGATTATTACCCCAGCTATGGGAGAATCTGTATTGCGCTGAGCTCTCAGCACAGACACCAAATAAATCATTGGCGTTCTCCTTCCCGACAGTTGTGAAGAGCTCTTCCTCCACAGGCCTTGAGATGCTCATCACAGAGGAGCACAGAAGGGGTCAGGGAAACATTTTAGCTGAAAATACCTTACAATAAGAGACCTTTGGTTTCTTTCCTTTGTAAATGTGGAAGCTACATAGTCAGCATTTCCATTTACAGTCTGATAATATAGAGTCAGACAAAAATTCTCATAGGAAATAGGTTGAGATGATGATTTGGAAGAAGAGAAAAAGGTATTTTTGAAAACTTGTCTGTTTCTTTTAAATCTCGTTTTTCTCTTGAGCAACTCAGCTGCTGGCCACAGCATTTGGTCCCTGTCAGGCAAGTCAACTCCAGCCAGAACATCTAAGTACAGCAAAGAGTTTTGTGGTATTGTTTTCGAAATCAACTATTGTAATCACTAGAGAGTAAAGCGTCAGGTAACATGGTGCTGTTTTGCAGCAGAGTAGGTTACTTTCAACACGCTCTGGCTATCACCAAGAAGAGGCACTATGTACATTTCAACCACGCTAAGTTACAACTTAAAAACGTTTGCATGAAACCAGCTGCATCTCCTCTGCCCAGAGGATGTTCTGTTGGCAGATGCTATAAAAATGACAAGTTCTCAGGCAGGAATTACGCTACAAAATAAAGAACGCTTTGGCTTTATTACACCATGAAAGAGCATAAAGCCGAGAGACAGTCAACCAAAATAGTGAACAGAGCACATTTAGTGATGAGCAAACCCTGCTGAGTTTTCTTTCTCATCCATCAATTATGCTTTGCAGACCGGTTCTTTGCAGCAGGACTATCAGCCACTGCCACAAACCAGCATGTTTTGCTAATAGTAGCACTGATACCACTTCCCTGAACCCCTACTTTGACATAGGAGACTTCACACACACACAAATTATTCATTTTCTTCTACTAATGCTGAAACACTGTCAGCATTTTCAGCTGGATAAATCCCTTCCAGTCACTGTCCTGTGTTAAACTCATTGCTGCATTTAACACTGCTCACAACTGTATTTCAGTAAACAGCAAATCAGTTCCTGCACAGGCTAGTTTGCCAAAGTTCCTGGGAGCTTTTAGGCCATCAGACATTAAAGAGGAAAATATTGCAAGTTAAAAAAACAGCTAAAACACAGAATCCCTTACCTGATGGGGATTGTAGAGGCACAGTCAGCAGCAGCCTGTTGGAATGACCACACTGGGACCAAAAGAGCTCAGGTTTGCCAAATTTAAAGGCTCAGCCCCAGCAAGGCATGCTGGGAGAGGGAGCAATCCTCCTCGGAGCGGAGTGGGCATGGGGAGAGGGGACAACAGCAATTGCAGGAGGCTCTGGTTCTGAAGCACTCTTGAAAATTACTTTTATGGAGGTTGGAGGGTGAGAAACTTGAATCTGAGCTCATTTAGTCACTAAGAGAAGTTTATTTGTTGAAATGCAGCTCCAGCAAGTGACATGCGGATCCCCAGCTTCCCTGCGGGCAGACCTCCGCACGGCCAAGCACCGCAGCTCTTCCTCTTCTCTCCTGACCACGCGTCAGACCCAGGCGGGCAGCGTGAGCTGTGATCTGCGGTTCTGTCTGACCCAGGCTGGGAGCGATGCTGTGGGGTCAGGCTGCAGCTGGCATTACTGTCACACATGTCCAGCCTGACAGCCCTTCTTTACATCACGTCATGAGATCTTGGAGGCATCCTCTTTCCCATGCGTAACTTGGTCTTGGAGGGAAATTTGAATTTTGAGATGTCTTGAGCCTGGTGTGACCCCCCAAGGGCCTGATGCTGCCACAGTTGTCCCAGTGCTGCCCATTTAGTGACGTGCTCCCTGGGGCAGCTGCCTTCAGAAGGTCCTTCTCTGCCTGGGGTGGTGAGGAGCCAGGTTCTCCAGCTAACCATGCTCTGTTTCTGTCAGGACAGTAGTGAGGCAGCAGATGGAGCTGGCCCCTGGGATGAAGAAGTCACCAAGTGGTGGGGAGAGTGGAGCTCCTGGTCCACCTGCTCCCGGTCCTGCGGAGGAGGCGTGATGTCCCGGGAGAGGCACTGCTTGCGACAGAGGTGAGTCGTGTCCCAGCCTGCGCCCTTGGCCAGGCCTCAAGCACCAGAGGGGAAACGGGGTGTTCCCGACCTGCATTTTTGGGCCAAACCTCCTGAGTTTGCATGGTCGTCCCTTCTCTCTTCTGCAGCCTCTCGGAAGGGAAGGCGGCTGTTGCCTGTGGGGTAGGTGGTGAGCAGGCAGTGGTGGGGAGGGCAGACGAGGGAGAAGCACGCTGCAGTGGGGCAGGTGACAGGCCCCCTAAACAGGTTACTTACTCAGCCTGGCTCATCCGATGGGGAGCAAGGGGTTGGTCCGCTCTTGGGGTCTGCGAGAGACTTGAAGATGGCGGGGTTGTGGGCTGGAGAAGACTAGCTCTATTCCTCTTCCCTTTTCTTTCACAAACCCTCGCTTACCGTGGCTGCTCTGACCAACCTAACCCTGATTTGTAGCCAGTTCCTGTGCTAAGGGTGTGGGTACATATCCCCAGACACCTTCTGGGGACTTGATTTACTCCTGGCAGCAGCCAGCTCAGCCATGTCTCAGCAATTTCCCCTCTTTATTCCCTGCAGAGCTTGCCAGTCTTTTTCCCTCTGTCATTTATCTGGCTGTCACCTGACAGCATCTCCATTTGTCCCCTACAGCCACATTTGTCCCCTGCAGCTGTTACAGTCCTGGTATTGGTTGGACAGGGTTTGTGGGAGTGGGGAGAGCTGGGGAACTTCAGCTGCCTGAACTCCCGCTGTCTGCTCCGGGTCACCTTGCCACCAAGCCCTCCTCCTCGGGCACCTCACTAACCTGCTGCTCCAGGCTCCTGAGATGTTAATAAGAGCCGGCATCCTGCAGCACAGCAAGCCCATGGGACTGCCCGTTCCACGCTCGGCCCCTTTCCCTTCTGCATGAATGCACTCCTGAGTGGAGGAAGCTCAGACTATGGCCCCCAACTGCTCTCCTTCCTGCAGCAGAAAACTTCTTTTATGTGGGCTGGTTGGCAGCACAGCGAGGATCCAGATGTGCTGCAGTACCTTCCATCTGAACATGGCCTCCCTGCTTAACTGGGCTGCCAATGTTTCTGCCGCTGCTCCTCCTCCCCAGCACACCATGGCCATCATGGGAGAGCAGTGGGAAACAGAGGGCGGGAGGGAGCCTGGGGCTGTCCTACACCCTCGCACAGCCTGAGCAGCCCTTCTGCCCTTTGCCTGCTGCCAGAAGAGGGATTTTTCTCTCCATTTGGCATCTGTTCTACCCTTGACTCCACAGCTGGGGAGGGGAGGGCTTTGCTGTGGCGGTTTACTCCAGGGTTCAAGTCTGAATTTAAAAAAAAAAAAAAGCCCAACGTAAAGCCCAGCCAAAAGGTTACTGCAGCTTTAAGGAGAATGGCTTAAGTGTGAGCCAAGTATGCCCACGAAACAATTTCTGCCTGAGTCTGCCAGCAGCCTCTGTTTCAACTGAAAGGAATGGCAGTTTTCAAGCCTTTTGGTGCAAATTTAGGCTTTGCCTACATGGTGTCAAACATTGCTCTGCAGTACCTCTAGCCAGTCCAGCTTGAATATGCCTACGGGGTTCTTCATTACACAGTGCATCCTAGGTTCCCAACACTGTTAACACATTGTCTGCTGCTGTTCTTTAAACAGACCACATTGCCTTAATCAGTGGTCTCAGCCATTCTCCCTACATCTTCCCAGCTTTCAAGAATTTTTTTGCCTTTGCATCAGTCAAGGACTCCAGTATCCCCTGGATAACTCCTGCTGGCCAGAGCTGAAGCATCGTGTTGGGAAATTGCTGTGGTTTTGGTCCATCATCTGCACCAAGCCTTTCCTGCTAATCTTTTAAGGTGGCCAGTCCCCATGAGAGGTGCCATCTCCCTGCCTACTGCACAGTGAATCCTGAAATCGACTCCCCTGGTCACTGCAAATCCTGGGCACTTCCATGGGAGCGATGGATCATCAAGGTCTATTGTCCTTTTGTCACATTAACCCTTTTGGAGTTCAGAGGTGAAGGGACACAGTGGTGGTGATACTGCGGTTGCTTGCTGTCTGCTCAACCTGCCCCAAAACAGGAGTAGTCTAAAATCACAGTCCACCTAAAAGCACTGAAAATGTGTTTCAGAGGAGATTTGGCTAGTCTAGATCCAGAAAGCTTTGCTCGGATAAAACGCCTGCCTTGCTTCTCCCCATTAAGTCAGGCCTGACTTCTCTGTCATCCTTAATACCTTAGTACTTCACAGACCTCCAGCTCATTTTCTTTCTGCTTTGCAGGCTCCAGATGCCCCAGGGAACAAACAGCACCATGTGTGTTGGTCAAGCCAAGCACTACCAACTGTGCCAGCAGCAGGTGAGAACCACTTCCAGTATTCACTGATCCTTACTGGGGGATGCGGGGCCTCAGGGGGTCACATTTGGAGCTGCAAGTGCACCAGCACTCAGGGTGTGACTGGTCCGTCATAGGAGTGCAGACAAGGGGTACGATCCACTCCTGGAGTGGTTGACGGTGTGCCTTTGAAGACGTGGGAGATGGGCTCTACTCTCTGGGACTGAGAGGTGGGGGAAAAGGATATAAAACCATATTTGTTGTGGGGTGGGGGGAGGGACGACGTTTTTCCAATATGCTTTTCCCTTCGCTGTAAGTAATTTTTGCAGGACTGTTAAATACAGCTGTCTGAGGGGCCCTTGGCGATGGAGGCCTGGCCTTTCTGCCTGTGTTACGGCACCTCAGAGTCCATCACTGGTTCCTTCCAGGGTGGACAGAGCATTTTCATCCTCCAAGGATGCAGCAGGGACAAGCAGCTGTCACAACCATGGCTGTGACATAGGGAGCTTTTGATGACATTTATTCCCTCCATAGCTCTGCCCAGCCAACACAGCAAGCTTCAAACAGCAGCAGTGCTCCAGTTTCAATGCCAAAGCCTTTGGGAAGCGCTACTACCACTGGATGCCTCTCTATCCAGGTGGGTTTTCATAGCTTCACGCAAAAGATCAGGGTGAGAAAACACCCACAGGACCTTCTCAGACACAGGAGAAGGGGAAGGTCCCAGGGGACAAGGGATGGATGTTCCTGGCTGGTCTGGAAGTGCTTCCCTGTGCTCCCTGCTTTGGAGAAATCGTTCCCTGTCTCTTCACAGAACCACTCTCCCCAGCCAGGCCTCCTCTCTCACCACATTGCTCCCGTTTTGGATCCTACATCAGCAAGCACTGGTGGGCAGACAGGACACAGGCTTCTCTGAGTTGTCTTGGCTAACCAGCAGTCATCTTGGCAGAGTGGGTGTTCACGCTCTTTGTGCCTTCTACCATTTTGGCTGCCTCTGTCACCCAGCATGCTTCCCACTGGGTTGGTGGTGGGTTGTTCTGAGCAGGATGCCCATCAGTTTCCTGTACAGGCGAGACAAATTGCTTCACATGGGTTTCCAGGTGGCCCTTGAGGCCCAGCTTTAGCTCACCTGAGATATTACCCTCTTTCTGGACCCACTTGTTTTTCTCTTTCCATTAGCTGCCAGGGGGACATAGAACATCTGCATCTGCTGGCCACAGCTCCGCACAGTCGGTGCCTCTCTTACAGGTCTTGCCTGCTCTTGTGTATTTATGTGTGGGCTGGGATCTGCTGATACAGATTCCCATGTCTGGCACAGGGGATGGCACTGCAAAGGGGAGAGGGTATGGCAAGGAAGAGGGTTTGCCAGCAAGAAGCATTTCTGCTAGGCATGGTCCCCAGCTGCAGCCTCATACCATGACCCCTTTACTATTACAAAATCTGTAGCCTTGAGGTCTCATCTCAAGCAGCAAGAACAGCCAAGGTGTCATCAAGCCATCAGTATGGATAAGAGGAAAGTCCCCTTCTTCGCTGCCCGTCTCTGAGCACCTTGATCTGCCTGGTGACTTTCTGCCTCTGTCCCTTCAGATGACTACACCAGTATCTCCAACAAGCCATGCGACCTCCAATGCACCACCCAGAGTGGAGAGAGGCAGCTGATGGCCCGGGCACAGGATGGTACCTCCTGCAAGGACAGGACCTATCAAGGGGTCTGCATCAATGGGAAGTGTGAGGTGAGGCTCTGGGAGGAAGTAGTACAGAAATTGGGAGTAAGTGCATGGCTGGACCTCCTGGTCATCGTAAGGCCAGGGGTCCCAGCAGGGAATTGCAACTGAGGCCTGGCGTGGAGTAATTACATTCACTCTTGAACGCCTATGGGCTAGAGGAGAGCAGAGAGGTTCACACAAAAGGAATTATATACATCCACATGTTCCCACTGAGTGACAGCACTTTCTTCCCAGCACAGAGAAGACTACAGTTGCAGGTTTGTTTACACAGTCATCCAATTAAAAAAAAAAAAAAAAATCTTCCATTTGATTTTTCACCTCATAGGGCAAGGATGAAGGGTGGTTGTATATAGTGTTACAGAGAGGTGCCTTACAGCCTCAGAAAGGTCTGCAGTTGATGCAGCATCCCCTGGAGGGTGATCATGTATATCATTATTTCAGTGAGAAGGATTGGCCTAAATACAGAGGCAGAAGGAACCAAAACAGCTTAGCCAAGTCTTACTCCATTCACCTACACGCACAAGCCCTTGCCCCAGGTTCAGGGGCACAACGTAGATGGTCACAGGTTACACACATGAATTTCTGCTGCTGTTGGATTCATTCATTACTCCACTCCAAACTAACCTACACTCCCCCCCAGAACCTCACCAAAAGAGCATGGTAGCATTTCCTTGAAAAGACCCTGACCTGTGGAGGTAAGCTGACCCTCTCTTGTTTTATTCTTTGCAGCCAGTTGGGTGCGATGGGAGCCTGTACTCACCCCGGACGATGGACAGATGCAGGGTGTGTGGAGGGGACGGCAGCACTTGCCACCGTGTCTCGGGCAGCTTCCGAAAGGCAATCTCACAGATAGGTACTCCCTGCTACCACAGTCCGGAGACTTCACCTGCTACTTCTTACCACCAGCTGGCATGAAGGGTGACTGGCTTGAATGCGAGTAGGAGTTTCCTAGCTGCTTGGTGGAAAGAGCTGAAGAGTGCCACCCCTGCTTAAATGCCTGTCTTTTGTCCTTTTCACTTAATCATCAGAGGAAATTGGTTTGATGTGCTGTATATTAGGCTGGTAAGGTTTCCCTTCACCTCTTTACAATAGAAGCAGCTGGGGATCTATTTGTTTCTATTGATTTTGGCATCTTGCCCACCTCAGATAATGTGAAGAGATCAATGAATCTTCTTTTATTTCTGCTATGTGTTCATTTGAAACTTAAGCTCCTATGATGAGGGTCACAGCGTTTGTTTCAGCCTGCATTTATTCTCCTGCTTTCCCCAATCCTATGGCTGGCACAACTGAGGGACAGTCCCTCTGAAACTGGGCTGAGATTCATCCCTTGCAACCTCATGGCCCATTCCTCCACCCACAGAAGGAATCGACTGTGGTATGCTCATTAGTAATTAATTAACGGTGGTTTGAGGATGCTTTGGAACATCACATTGTTGTTGTTTCACTAGTCTGCCTCGCTCTCTACAGACTAGAAAAGCACTCAGGCCACTTTCCAGAGCAGGGGTAGTGGTGCTAACCCCTTTAGCAGTACAGATACAGTTTTGGCCTCCCATTCCAGTCCTTATAAAATCTTACAGAATGGAGAAGACCTGCATTTCTAGCAGGAAAGACAAGCTGCCAAACCGCATAATTTAAGAGCCTTCTTATTTCCTCTCCCTTTAAAGGTCAATTTTTGTGATACTCCTGAGACAAATTCTATTGAGTCAGGAGCTGAGGGCACCTGTGGTCTTTTCCATCCTCTGTTCAGCGTCAGCCCTGATCACTAGTAAGCTTTTTCTGTGCTCTTGCCAGAAAGAGGGTGAGAGCACATTCATTCACACACCTAAAGCCAGACTGTTATGCTTGTGCAGTTCCTTCCTGACTCCAAACCCAGCAGTGCTCAGACTGAGCCTTAGAGACCTGTAATGGTGACCTGTAATGGGACTTCAGAGGGGACCTGGGATTAGAGCTCACAGACTGGCGCAACGTGCATTTATGTCCTTAGCGTCCTGCCCCTGAAGGGCAGTGCTGCCCTCCTACATACACACTTACCCCATGAGCTACTTTTCCTACCTAGACCTTTTTATTCTGTCCTTGGGCTTTCCTCACGCTCTGTTCTGTTCCTCAGGTTACGTGTTCATCACCAACATCCCTGCCGGTGCCACGGACATCCTCATCATTGAGCGTAGGAAAACGGAAAACATCCTAGGTAAGCAGAGGAGCCGGATGGACATGGAGGTCCCAGTTCAGCTGCCTCTGAGGTGGGAGGAGGGCTCTGTGCACTCCCATCTCTGCTGTGAGAGAGCTATCTGTGAGCATTTCCTCCTCTGAAGAGCACAGGGGCACTTCATCTCTCCATAAACCAAGGCTACCACATCTCCAGCAGCAGGAGGGACATTTGGAAACCAAGCTTGCTATGGGCAGACCCTGTTGTGAAGACATTTGTGCTCTTGTTGGAGCGGGAAATGAAAGCAGCAGGCATTGAACACCGCTGATCTGACCTGATGCGGAAGATGAATGCTGGAGGGCCTGCGGTTCTTTTTCTATGGGGCTTTTCTCGGTCATGAGCTGTTTGCTCTCCTCAGTGCCAGTGCAGCCCCGGTGTTCTGCACAGAGTATCACATTTGTCCCTTTTCTCTCTCTTTGAAGCACTTGCAGATGAATCCGGGCATTTCTTCTTCAACGGCAACTCCGCCATTGACAACCCCCAGAACTTCAGGGTAGCTGGCACGATCTTCAAGTACCGGCGGCCCTCGAGCCTGAACTCAGATGGGCTGGAGTATATTATAGCTCACGGGCCCACTAACCAGTCTCTTAACGCCATGGTATGTGAGGAGCTAGTTTTAGGCTTTCCTGTCTTGCCGGTCCCAAAATTGTGAGCCTCCCTCAGACAAAGGGAATATTAACCTGGTTCCCAAGCCAAACCTGAGTGTGTAGGTGGCTGAGGAAGCCAGATACTGTCTGGGGGTGGGGCGGAGGTTCCTCTTGCATTTATGAGGATACTATCTTCTCTTAACATCCATCACAAAATGGATGTGGCTAGAAGAGGTCTCTGGGAAATACATGTCCTTAAAATACAAGCGGTTTTGTTTTCTTTCCCTGTTTCCTCCAGTACTATAACTTTAATGGGAAAATGCCACACATAACTTATGACTACACTGTACCACGGACACCACCTCTCCGAACTGCAAGCCCTGCTGTAGACAGACCTCTCTATCGTCACCGACCAGAGACCAGCCAGAACCATCCCATTCCAGCCAACTCCAGAGCTGCCCAGGACTTCAATGCCACATGGCTCTCCCTGTCACCAGATGACACCAGTGAACAGCTTCCTCTAAGAGAAGGGCATGAAGATTTAGGCTTTGGTCACCCGCACTTCATCCAGACCAACTCCACCAGTCAGACTCGGGACTGGGGCTGGGAACAAGGTGAAGAGAAGGAGAAATATGACTTCCAGATAAGACAGGTCTACCATGCAAACACGGCAGGAGAGGAAGAGGAGGAGGAAGCAGCAGCAATTGGTGGAGAAACAGAGTTGGGTTGGTTGCTTTGTTTTTCCTTCTTTCCCATTTTATTCATTGAAAGCGGACATCCCATATTGGTCTTGAAATCTAAGGTGGCTTTACCATCAGGGCAGACAGGAGGGAAAGATGATTAATAGCAGGGTAGAGACTGTCAGGGAAGAGCAAGGGCCAGAAGGTCCATAAGGGAAGGGGAGCTGGGAGAGGGTGGCCACAATACAGATCAAGCAGTGCCCTGTCAGGCAGGGCAGTCCCATGGCATCTGAGATGGCAAGCAGGACAGTGATAGCAAGAGGTCCTAGCAACTGCCCAGTGATCAGGTGAAAACAAGGTGACAAGTCAAATCTGAGGTCAATCTGGGAAAGCCAAACAACAATTCACGGACAAAGTACGCCTGCAGCATTGCTCAGGCCAGGTCTGAAGGCTCAGGCCAGGTCTGAAGGCCCAGGCATGAGCTTAAATGGAGCTCCTGAGCAATGGGCAGAGTGTGTGTGAGGTTGGTCAGGGCAATTAAGGCCTATTGGTGCACCCTGGTGGCAATTTATGATTTTGAAGCCAAACTCAATGGTTTTTGCCTTGTTAGGTACCACATGCTTAAGTATAAGCCATCCAAGATAATTAAAGCATCCCTGTATTTTTCCTCCAGCTCTCAGGTTCAATCAGAGAAGTATAAGCTATCCAAGATAATTAAAGCATCCCTGTGTTTTTCCTCCAGCTCTCAGGTTCAATCAGATTTCCATCAGCACAGCTGTACCCTACAGCATGAGGAGATCCGAGCTCTCGGAGAACAGCCAGATAGCATCCTCCAGGCTTCGTCTCTTCAGGCGGCTGTGTCACCGAGACCCGCACAACACTGCCTTCTGTAGGGAGCTGCAGCACCTGGCAGCCAGGCTGGCCCCGAGGAACTCCACAGCAGGACTATGGACCGAGACGGCTGCCCGGTGGCCACAGGGCCTCCACAAAGCGCCGGCCCGTAAGAACTCACTGGAGGACTTGAAGGTGGAGGCATTTGCTGGGAGTCAGGGGGAAGCAGCCAACTACAGCATGATGGCATCTCTGGAGAGCCCTCTGCTAGGTGCCACCCCAACCGTGGACATCAGCCAGGCAGAGCCTCTGCAAGCCCCTGGCACTGAAAGGTGGCACTTGATTTCCTGGGCAAAACAGGAGCATGGTTAGCTGGGGAGGGAGGGTCAAGTCAATCCTCTGGTAGGCTCACTGCTGTCTTTGATGTCCCCATTCTCCAATGTCTATCCATGCAGCTGCTGTAGATGCTTGACCAATGGTGTGTCCTCCAGAGACTGATTGGCACAACTAGCCTGACACAGGCTTCCCAGAATGTATTTCGCTCCCGCCCCTGCCTCTAAGGGATCCATTTAAATGGGTTCTGAAGAACCTGGGGGACCAACACTAAAGTGATTGTAAAGAAGGCCGGGGGTCTATAGCACATCACATACACACATTTACCAGCACATCACACCCCTTCTGTCCCATTCTTCTGGGCACACATGCCTCTGTAACTTCAATAAACATTTGGCAGGAAAACGAGGGCCAACTTTTAAACATTTCTGACAAGCCGTGTGTGAACTCTCCCACCACATTATATAACAAGAGGGACCTTGCCTGAGCTCCCCTTTCCAACCTAGCGTCATACCTCTCGAGGTGATAGCGTGAACGGAAGCTTAGGGCACCCGCATGTTCGAAAAACCATTACAGACAAATCTCACTATGAATGGTGCCTCCTCTCAGAGGATGTTGATCCATGGCTTTTCACAGCCTTGCTACTTGAATTCAGGAGGTGGATCAAGGCTTTACGCATCAGTGGTCCATCTTGCCCAAGGTGGGGGAGATGGAGAGCGGGAACACTGGCTTTCTTCCCATCTTCAAAGACAGTGAGGAGGAAATTCACAATATTTTATGTTTGCAGCAATTTTTCATCTTTAGCTCATGCCACCTCCTTTTTCCACAGCAATGAGTTTGATGTGAGCTCTGTGGGCCATGACGACATTAGCTTGGCTGACATGTATCGGTGGAAAGTCTCAGCTTATGCTCCCTGCAGCTCCACGTGCACTTCAGGTAGGTTTGGCTTCAGGTGACTGATCATGTGAGGTCCTGTTTGGCTGTTGATAGAGAGAGTACTGGTATTTTTTAAAATGGCAGGTAGAGTTTGAGATGCAGTGAGCACTCCAGTAATTTAATCATGGTGGGAGGAGGCTTTTGGATCTGATGGAGCCTGACCAAGAGAGGGTCTTGATTGCCCAGCAGGTATCAGCACCTCCTATGCGATGTGTGTCCGGTACGACGGAGTGGAAGTGGATGAAACTTACTGTGATGCCCTAACCCGACCAGAACCTACTCATGAATTTTGCACAGGGAGAGATTGCCAGCCTAGGTGAGTGGAAGTGACAGCTGTCCATGGGGACAACATATCTTTGTAAGGATCATTTTCTGCTCAAAGTATACAGCCATTTCTGGGCTGGAAGATACGCTTCAACAGCTAAGCCCTCGTATCGCCTTGTAAGCAAAAAGAGTGAAAGATTTTGCTGCCTAAATTGCCTGCTAAGGACAAAGTTGGCTTTCAAGACCAACACAGACATCTATGTGATGAGCAGATTCATAGCAGCAGCTACTGGGTGAGGGAGTCCCAGGCACGCGGGTACTCCCCTGCCACCCCGTGTCCCTTGTCCCCCTTACCTGGGTTTTCCTTTGTGCTTTCTCTCCTGGGGACTGCTCGTGGAGGTGGGAGATCAGCCGGTGGAGCGAATGCTCCAGAACCTGTGGTGAGGGCTATCAGTACCGCACTGTGCGCTGCTGGAAGATGCTGGCTCCAGGCTTTGACAGCTCCGTTTATGATGACCTCTGTGAGTCAGCTGGGCTGGCCAGACCCATGGAGAGGAAAGCCTGCAAGAACAAGGCCTGTGGGCCCCAGTGGGAGCTCTCTGAGTGGTCCGAGGTAGGGAGCAGGGGAGCTTTGCTCCCAGAGGTAAGCAGCCGGGGCTGGGCTGGGGCCTGGAAGAAGGTGGCTGGCATGTGTTGGGTGCTGAGGAAGCCCCTGGCCAACTGCATCCTGGGGAAACAAGGACTGCCTTTACCCACCGCTCCCCTGTTCTGGCACTGCCCAGCGAACAAAGGCCATTCCAAAACATTTTTTCTACCGTCACTTCTTAAGCAGGATGTTGACCAAGTGAAAGCTCTGTCAGCAAGAGGCTTTGCCTCCCTCTTTCCAAGGATTTAAATAAGGGCAGATGGGGAAACAGTATGGAGACATAGAGGAGCTAAAACCCAGTCAAAATCCCTTTGATTGGTTGACTTCCCACAGTCTGCTTGGGACTGGGACAGTGGAGCTGCCACTCCACAGAATAGCAGTCCAGGCCTCAGCATCTTGGAGTGTTGGAGCTCTAGGACCCAAAGTAATTAAGTAGCAGAGATAGAGATGGACTCACCTTTTTGTGTCCCTGCTGGGCCCCTTGCCCTCTCCCCTAGTGCAGCAGGAGGAAAACGGGAGAAGGCATAGCTGTCTCCCTTGCCTTTGCTCATCCCCCTTGTTCTCTGCTTCTGAGCCGCGGGGCTGACTCTGTATGGCCATTGCAGTGCTCGGCCCGGTGTGGCACGCAGGGCACGATGAAGCGGGAGGTGCGCTGCTCGGTGGAAACACCCCTCTGCGACGAGTCCCGGAAACCCAGCAGCGAGAAGGCGTGCACAGGCCCACCCTGCGACCGCCGCTGGACTGCTTCGGATTGGGGCCCGGTGAGTCCGGAGGGTCTGCTTCTCCTTGAACCCGATGCCAGGGGTGCAGGGCTGATGGGAGGGAGCAGGTGGGCAGTCATACTGCTGCTCTCTTTTGGCTTTCTTCTGGCAGAGGCTAAGCTAAAGAAACTAGAATAATCTGTATTTTTGCCTCTCCGCGCTGTAAATTTTCATCAGCTGTGAGGTGAGCTCCATTCAATAATCTGGGGAGCTCACGGCACCTGGAGAATGGAAGCCCCTGACTAGATGTACCTCTAAAGACCCTTGGGATCCAGTGCCACAGTCCCAGTGGCAGGGCTAGGCTCTGGACTCAGGTCTCCTGGCACCACTGACCCTAACTCCTCCACCTTCCTGCTTTCTGATGTGTCTAAATGCCCTTTATTCCTCCAAGTGCTCAGGTTCATGTGGTGAGGGACGCATGAGTCGCTTCATCGCATGTCGCAACCTGGAGGGCAAAGTGATCTCCGACTCGCAGTGTGACCCAGACACCAAGCCCCTGGCTGTCCATCCGTGTGGAGACAAAAACTGCCCTGCACACTGGGTGGAGCAGGAGTGGGACCAGGTAAAGCCGAGCCCACCACCGTGTCCTCAGCCCTCCTTTCCCACCCCATATCGCACAGGAGATGGTGGGAGCCTGGCTCCCTTGGCAGAGCAAGGTTGTATGGTGCAACCTCCAACCGAGGAGCTGTACCCTCATCCTAGCTTCTTCCAGAGAGAGGGAAGGAGCAATAAATACCCCAGCTTGTCCCCCACCATACCCTAAACGCCACCCCACAGTTTGTGGCATTTGCTGCCTTCCCAGGGACCTCCATTGGAGGGCAGCAGTGTTCTAAGGAAACCATCCTCTCCCACCTCTGGCTCCCAGCTGGCAGTTGCAGACACCTCAGCAGAGCTCTTTGTCCAGAACCTGCACTCAGCCCCCCAAGATTTTGGTCCCACCACTAAAGAGAAAGCCCCAACAAAACCAGCTTCATCTCTGATAAATAATAGCCAGAGGTAAACCTGAACCACAGCCCAGATCCCTGCCCTGGAAGTCACATCCAGGCCATGACTCTGTACTTGCCTCAGGACTTGTAGTCCAGTGAATGTGGTCCAGGCGCCCCGTTCTACCAAGCAATCGGTCTCTGCCAGTCTACTTACTCCCCCTCTGTTGCTCAAGGCCTAGGGGCTCTGGGCTTCCTGTTACAAGCTGGTCCGAGGCCCAGAGCACCCAGAAGGAACACATTGAGTCAGTTGTGGGGTTTGCGCTTTGTCTTTAAAGTCTTGAGCAAAATAGGGATTCACAAAGCACTAAGGAAGAATATTTCTAGGAAACCAAGCGGCCAAGCCCTCTCCCTCCAACCATAGCTAAACCTCTGTTCTCATTTTGCTACCCTTTGTAGCTGTTGACTACATTCAGCTGGTCTCCCTCCAGCACTGGTAACGAGCACAAACTGGTTAAACCTAGGGAGCTATGGCAGTCCCGTAACCCTGTCCTGCTCTGGCCTACGGTGTGGGTCACACACAATGCTACAGCGCAATTTTTCAGCTGTGTCCAGGCTATTAAACTCACCTAAACTCTGAAGGACCAGCTGAGCTCCCCACCTTTGCGTGTGCCAGCTTCTTTGCCTTTTCTGTGTTCTCTCGGCTGATCAGTTCTGAGTTTGCAGGATGACTAAGGGCGGATGCAAGCCAGCTGTGCTGGCCCTGCGGTGGTGAAGAGGAGCATAAAGCAGTAAAACCTCAAACTGGCAACTGCCTCCATGGGCATCAGGGAGCAGAACTAAGCTAGAATCAGATCTTGCCTCCTGCTGCTTCTCTTGGTGGTGTCCTGAGAGACTGAGAGCTCCCAGCTAAGCCTGCATAGCTTTGGGCTCAGCAGTACTCGTCCATGCAAAGCACCTGCAGTGCACCAGTTTGGGCCCCTTGGGCCCATGCAAAGCTTGTCAGTACTCCAAGATGTAGGTTGCTACACGAATAGGCTACACGGTTTTTGAAAACATAGATAGACATAAAATAAGACAGAAACAGCCTCTTGCAGTCTTACCTTGGCTGCTCCAGGTCCCTTGTGGTAGCTGCTCTCAAGGCCAGCCAAGGTGAATTCAGCATCCCCAGTGCTGGCTAAACGCTAGTTACCAGCTCCTGTCCTCGCTCCCTAAGAAATTCAGCTCCTTTGCAGACACTCATTGCTCCTGTGACCTGGGCAGCAGTACCTCTGTTCGACTGGTGTTAGCACACGCATTAAGCACCTTGCTTCTGAGCAGGGTACCATCTTACTTGAAGCTCTACAGCTGATGAGCATCATTTGTTACCTGGCTGTTGTGTTCTCTTTCCCAGTGTGATGCCAGCTGTGGGCGAGGGATGAAGACCCGGGTTGTCTTGTGTGCGGGCCTGGAGAACGGTGTGTACAGGGAATACCCCGAGAAGCGCTGTGAGACCTCTCAGAAACCTGAGGAGCAAGCTGCCTGTTTCAAGAGGCCATGTTCAACGTGGTTCACTACCTCCTGGTCTCAGGTAGGGCTCGGGGTGGTGGGGAAGAGGGAGAGGAGACCTCATAACCCTGGTTGGTGGAGCATGACCTGCACGGAGGATTTCTAGCAGTCTGTTCTGCCGAGGGTTCTGTTAGGTCTGGATGGGACCGTGAGCTCTGCTCTTCTGCAGACCAGGCAGCAGGTGGAGGGACTGGCACATGGGAGCTGGGGAAAACCTTAGAACATGTGGATTATTGCCTCAAGCAAGAGCATGTACTGCACTGCAGGCAATACAGCCATGTCTCCTCCTCTGCCAGGAGACAATGTTCTGTCTTTCCTTTCTTTCCCTTGATTTTAACTGGTGAGCGTTTAGGGAATGGGAGGACGGGGAAAGCTGCGCCTGGCTTGCAGCAGCCATTTTCTCCATCTTCTACCGCAGCATCAACACTCAAAACAAAAACAATTATGCATTGCATTAAGGAGATGAAAACACACTCCCTTGCTCTGCCTCAACCCTGGCTCAGGGAGGCTCTCCTCCAGCAACGAAAGGGGAGCATAACTTTGAGATCAGTGTGGGATTTCACCCAAACCTCCTCAAGAACAGTCTCCAAAGCAGGGACCGGGAGGCCTCACTGGACGAAAGAACTTGGGAACTATAGAAAAATAAAAAAATGCCTCTCACGATCCCTTTCCTCTCTCTCGATCCCGACAGTGCAGCAAGACGTGTGGTGCTGGTGTGCGACTGCGTGAGGTGAAGTGTTACCAGGGGGAAGCGCTGGCTCAGGGCTGTGACCCCACTTCCAAACCAGAAGCCAGGCAGACCTGCCAACTCCAGCTGTGCCCCACAGAGGCACCAGGTAAGTCCGGCAGGGCAGGGAGGGAGAGGAGCCTTCGGGAGCCCTTTCTTCTGTCCAGCTCTGTGCTGAGGAAGCACATCTAGCTCCTTTTTAACCCCTTCTGTGGATGCTTCTGCTCCCCAGAAGAAGACTGTGAAGACAAAGCGACAGCCAACTGCGTGCTGGTGCTGAAGGTGAAGCTGTGCTCTCACTGGTACTACAGGAAGGCTTGCTGCCGGTCGTGTCGGCTCAAGTCACCCTGACTGCTGCCAGGCCGTACTTCCCTTCCAAGTTCAGGGGCAAGATCCCCCTTGAGCCAGACTTTACCACTTGAAGCCACCCCACTTGGTTTGGCTGTGGACCCAGTCCCTGTAGACCAGCCTGCTCAGTGAGGAAGGATTCCTAGGACTTAGTCATCACCGTTCCCTCTCCACCAAGAGGACCTTACACAAGATAAACCATCAGTTCCTAGAAAGCTACTGAGAAGTGAGTTGGGAAAGCCTGTCCCTGCTGTCATCATCTCTGAAGAGCTCTAGTTGGAGGCGGTGGGGCGCGGAGGCCAGCCCGCAGCAGGGCACAGACAACAGCAGCCATCTCTCTGGTCTGCCCTGCAGATTCTTCTAACTACAAGGGCAATTTCCAAAACACACTGAAAAATTCTGTGTCACAATAAAGAGCTAAACTGTAACACTGTGGTTTTGGGATGCATGTACCTAGGAAGAGGGACACAAGAGGAAGGAAAGCAGGAGCAGGAAGGGTGGGGAGGAAAAATCCTTGCGCCAGTACAGCTTCCAAGCAGCACCAGGTAAACCCCATTTTGTGTTGCCTGCCGAAGGACAGAAACCACTCCTGTTTTGTATTTCAAAGTCCTCATTTATTTCTGACATTGTATTTGGACCCATAGCTGAGCAACAAAGACAGAATAATAACAGGAGGAACCTAAAGTGGAAAAAATCTGGAATTCCTGCCCCTACCCCGTCCTGTTCCTCCACTATCTCCAAAACCTTAAAACCCCCAGTTGCATCTCCCACGTTTCCAGCCCTTTCAGACTCACCCGTTTCTCTGTAGCTGTGCCAGGCCCAGGGTGTTGCGTTGGCCGTGAGGATAACCCTCATCTTGGCCATCCAGCTACTCTGGAACTGCCTTGCCAGCCTTGGCACCTCGTTAGCAGGCGACAGGTCACGCTTAATTTGCATGTGATGAAGATGACAAGGCGGTTGCCTTCCTTTCACCACAGAAGCAAAAGCCCCCTGTGTTATTCCCACCCTCCGGAGGTCATGGCCCGGCACCGTTGCGGTGGGAAGCCTTGCTGTGTGCCAAGAGGTAGAATTGGATGCCAGGAGCTGCTGTGCCCACGCGCCGGCCCTGCGCCCTTCGAGGGGACGGCATCACAGGGCCATCGGGCAGCAGCCCACAGGTCACGCCGGGATATAATAACTTCTCGTAGCTCCCAGCAGGATGGAGTCCTAGCTGAGCAGATGCTCTAGTGGGAAAGGATGGGATTTACTGAGTTAGCCAAGATTTTTTTCCCGGTACAGACTATATTTTCAGGGAGGAGCACTGGCTGGATGGGAAGCAGTAGGAGCTATGGACTATTGGCTAGTGGGATCCAGAGCGCTTTGCTGCTGCTAACTTTCATCTGCCTGCCCTTAACGTGCGAGGACATTCAAAGACCTGCTACCACTATTTGGAGAATGGAAGGAGACTCTCTAAAAGAGATGCAGCTAGACAGAGTCTCAGGATAATGGAAACGCAATGTCTTTCTGGGCCAGAGATGGGGAAATGGTGCACAATGTGTGCTCAAAAGACTGTAAAACATGGGCTGGGGCAAGGTGTTTGGTTACAAGGACCGTCGCCACACTTGGTGTTCATCTGGCGCCTTTTCTTTGGGTAGTTTGAGCAGAGGTGCCAAGGCATGAGCAGGTCCAAAGTGTAAATTAGCCTTTTGACTGATAACGTAGACATCCGCGGCTCACGTAGAGTGCACCTCCACGCTGAGACCTACTTTTTCTGTGCATGAACGGGGAGGTTAAGTCCAAATCCTGTGAGGAGCAGGATGATTTCTAAATTACGGTGGTGAAAAAAACCAAAAAACCACTCACATTGCTGAGCAGTTGTAGCCTATATTGCAAAGGCATGGCGAGTGTTTCCTGCCATTGCCTCCAACAGCATCCGCATGGCTGCGGGGATCGTTGCTGTCCGGGTCCCTCCTCCCTGCCATGAATGGGAAGCGCTCAGCCGAGCGGTCCTGCACCGGTTGCTATGGAAGTGCCCGTGAATGATGGAGATGTCCTTTTAGTAATTTTTCACCTAATTTGATTTATGGAGGAAGAATGAACTTTCCCACATTCATTTTTGCAGAAAGGCAGAGTCACTGGCTGTCATTACCAGCCTCAGGGCTGGTGAACCCAGGTTCAGGTCTTGCACCCTCTTCTTCCAAAAGTAGAAGGGGGGGGACCCCAATCACCTGAACATCGCTCTCCCATGGGAGGTTGTGGGCCCCGCAAAGGAGAAGGTGTGACCCGGTGGTCTCTGCTGTTGCTGTCGAAAGCAAAGGCCATCCTAAAGCCAACAGTCCGGAGCTGTCGGGGTGGGCTGGGTAAGGCTTTGAAAGCTCAAGGTGACCAAAACTGCAGTTTTTTAGGGATGCAATTCTTCCCATAAGTAAAATCTCGCCATTTTTATGGGTCCAAGTTAAAATCTCTCCTAAGAAAGCTTGTGAAGAGTAGAAGAGGTGGGGGCTTCGGCCGCAGAAGAATCAGCCTGTGCCCGTTTGTGTGGGCGAGTGGTTTTGCGAGCAACTTTGCCTCCCCCGGCGGTGATCTAAATTCATGTCTTGAACTTCTTCAGCATGTGCAAAGATGGAAGTGGGTGGGGGACGGTGTCCTATCTTACACTCAAACACAAAAGCTATCTGCTAGCGGCAACTAACGCAGTACAAGGGGAACAGGACGATCCGGATCTTCCTTTCTTTGCCTTCCCGTCGCCGAGGAGCGCTGCCATTCCCAGCTCAGCGGTGGGATTTGCCAGAGGCAGCAGCTCGCAGGTGGTCGCGCATCGCTCCGTGTGCCGGAGGCCGTGGGCATCGCCTCGGGTGGCTGCGTGGGGACACTGGAGGCCTCGCTTGGGGAGCCGGGGGAGCCTGGGGTAATTAAATTAGGTTGTACTGTACATAGCCCTCGTTAGACAAGTCCCTTCAGGAGATAGAATAGAATAATAATGACACTTATGATGGGTTCGGAGGTGGCCGGTTTAACG